TTATTTATTCACGATGCACTTACAAAAAAATCCGCAGACTACCTACTGGATCTCCTCTCTGTTTCAAAGAACAAATTTGACCTCACGTCTTCGCTCATTTACCAGCTTCACATTCCCTATTGCCGTACACATACTGGAGGAAGGGCCTTTGCTATCGATGCCCCCGGGTCTGGAATCCTATTGCCAATAAACTGCAACTTGAATCGCTACCAATGAGATCTTCTCTCAAAACTGCTCTAGAGAAACACGGCAGAACGAATTCTTCGGCCGCAGCTGATCATTGTTTCAACACAGCGGGTTATCATGACATTGTGTTCTCTGATACCAAAGTTCTCTACAAACCTCCCGGGTATTACCAAAGATTTGTCCATGAAGCCATCCAGATATACAAACATAGACACAACTTCAACCGAGAGAATGGTTTCAAATTGCGCAACCACTGGAAAGATGTTATAAATCAAGTCAAACGTTAGCTGCCTTTTAATTGTACAGCCATTTCCATTTCTCAGTGGTTGTGTCAAACTTTAGCTGCCTTATAATTGTACAGCCGTTTTCGTTTCTTTCAAAAATGGGGCTGTACTCGATTTCGTGCAACGTGCCATCGCCTCCCACCGAACCCCCCTGCAGCATAACAAAAGGGTTTAACCCGCTTTCGTGCAGTGCACCACCCTTCCCCCCGAACCCCCTGCAGTTTAACAAAAGGCGGCTTAACTCAGCCCTTCCACCCATCCACGTCCCATTCTGGCTCCCCCAACCATAACCTGTATATAATCCCGGTCGTCTCAGAACTGTGCACTTGACACATATATTCTGCTGTGACTATTCCACCTGAAGACGGACGCTTGTGTTGCCTCCGAAACGTCGTGATTTAATTTAGTTGTTTTCGTTTTATTTTATTTTACCTACGTGACTTTACCGAAAAAACCAAAGAGTATGAATCCTTGCAGTCACGAAAGCTTCAAATCTAGAATGCTCGAGAGGAGTTGTACACCCCGAGCTGCCACTGCCATTCATTGGCGTAAAATAAAATGTTTAGCTCCGGATGACGCTGCAAAGTATTATCTGTATTTTGATTTAGCGTGCTGATCTTAAAGGTGCATTGAAAAATTTGATACTCTGACTGATGTTTCTGTTGTTGTGGAGTAACTCATGCAGCCAGCTATGGCTCTAGGATTTGGTGTTACATGTTATTTATGTAGTTTATTGTAAAAATTCGGTCACAGTCCCTGTGATCACTGTTACGTTGCAATTAAGGCTTTATTTTTTGGTGATTTCGAAAAGTTTTTTGGTTTGGACGTTTGTTTTGTTGTAGTACGGAGTTAGACTGATGGCTTTAATCTAAGTTTTCTTGTGGTTGTTGTTGTTGTTTGACTTGCATCCCACTGGGATTTTTTGCACACAGCGTTGGTGTACGGTGCTTTTTTCAAGAATATTTTGCTGTTTTTTTTCCATGGATTTTCTGTTTGCACAGTCACATAGCCACTTTAAGATGTTTTTCTTGTTCGTGTTTTTGTTTGTTGTGGTTGCACCCGATTCAAGAGCCGAATGGCTCACAGGGCTATACCAAAATAAATAAACTGAAAAAACAGACACATAATCACAACTTTGCCTTTTATATATATGGAGATATGGAGATACTGCGTGGGCCGTGTTGCAAAACCACAAATCGCAAACAAAAATGTAACACATGCTTCAATAATAACACTGTGGTCTTAAAATAAAAGATATATAACAGGGGGCATTGTGGGCTTTGGATCTTCTTCACAGCGCACTCCAAAACCTTTACCCCTCTGGCTTATGCGCTGTGAAAGGGCGATTGCCCAAAACATCACCTATTATACAGTGTACTCTTCTTAAGGCAGTGTTAACGAATGTGTTTAGTTGTTCAGTTTTCTTCTTGTAAGCGTTATAGATTGCAAAGTGACGATTATAATTTTTTAGAGCTATACCAACAAGGCGTATATTGAGTGAAATGCAACCGAATAACTTTGAAGTAAAGTCATCTTTATTCCTACTAAAAGCACATCAAAGCGCACAACCAGTTATATATATCAAACTAATATCACAAGAACAGGTAGGGCCCATTGAGTTGTGAGAAAGTGGCCTCTAACCCAGCACTGTGGAGGCAACGAGGGTTAGTGGATCACATCAATGTTGTGAAACCTCAGTTTAACACTTAGGCTTTCGCGACCAACATTATTCTAAACTCGCCTTTTGCCCGTCCAAGGACGGGGGTGTATTGCAGTAAAACTGAAACTTGCAAGCGAAAATCAGACCGCGACGTGATATATTCATTGCATCAATTCGTGTGCAATTTGTAAGGGCGCGGTGACACAGACCTATTTCATATTAAGGTTATAATCTCTTGTTCATCACGTCCTTTTTACTTTGATGCCTCAATAGCGTTGCGTAGATCACGTGACTTGAGGGTTCTTGCCTTCGTAGTGAGGGTTGTAAGTTGACGCTGAGGAGGAGGGGGGAGGAGGCGCCTCGGCCCCCCATGTGGAGTGACGTCACCAGTTAATTAATTATTATGAACGGGGGGGGGGGGGGGGTGTCCATTTGGAGGACGTCACCTGTTCATGATTATTAATAAGGGGGGCTGTTCGATGTGGAGTGACGTCACCCGCTCATGATTATTAATGAGGGGTGGGGGTGGTGTCCATTTGGAGGACGTCACCTGCTCATGAATATTGATGAGGGGGGCTGTTGGATGTGGAGTGACGTCACCCACTCATGATTATTAATGAGGGGTGGGGGTGGTGTCCATTTGGAGAACGTCACCTGCTCATGAATATTGATGAGGGGGGCTGTTCGATATGGAGTGACGTCACCCGCTCATGATTATTAATGAGGGGTGGGGGTGGTGTCCATTTGAAGGACGTCACCTGCTCATGAATATTGATGAGGGGGGCTGTTCGATGTGGAGTGACGTCACCCACTGATGATTATTAATGAGGGGTGGGGGTGGTGTCCATTTGGAGGACGTCACCTGCTCATGAATATTGATGAGGGGGGCTGGTCGATGTGGGGTGACGTCACGAGCGTTAAGGACAGACATTCCTGGGTGATTCTGTATAAAGGTTTTTTGGGTTTGATCGCGTCAATTATAAATGTGTCGTAACCCTCCACCACCCGACACGGCCAGTAAGGTTTATTCACAACAACAACAAAAAAACCAACGCGCCGATTAGTTGCTACTTCAGCCCACCGGTGTGTCGGAGAGTAACTCCGCAACATTCACGACTTGAGTAGCACGACGTGTCGCTGTTAATTACATCCAACCAACCGCGGCGTAAATGTGGACTTCGTGCGTCCGCTCCGATCGGTCCGCGATGAAGAGTGCCGCCTCGCTCCGATTGTCCTCCCAACGTGTTAACAAACCACTCGTCCATTGGCCGACAACAACCTTCATCTTTTTTGGTTCTTTCGGTAAAGTCACGTAGAATGAGAATAAAATAATAAATTGATAAAATAAAATAACACAATAATATTCTCGCGACGTTTCGGCCACAACACAAGCGGCCTTCATCAGGTGAAGGGGACGAGACTGTCTGGAGGACAGCGCTGGAGAAAGCCACGCTGAGATCACGACCTTTAAGCTGTGTGAGAAGAAACAAAGCGCCTTGACAAAGGAATTAGCATATAATTTAGCATTGAAATGGCTGAGTGATTAGCTTGTGACTGGTCACAGAAAAGGCTATGTTAAAGTTAAAGCATACACATCCGCAAAGGCACCCCTTGACAAAGGAATTAGCATAGAATTTAGCATTGAAATAGCTAAGTTAAAGTATACACATCCGCAGAGGCACTCCTTGACAAAGGAATTAGCATAGAATTTAGCATTGAAATGGCTGAGTGATTAGCTTGTGACTGGTCACAGAAAAGGCTATGTTAAAGTTAAAGCTATACACATCCGCAAAGGCACCCCTTGAACAACCTTCATATGCAGAGGACCGCAGAGCGCGGGCATTGTTGGTGTTTGCCGGCTCGGCCCTGCCGCATGGCTAACCCGGGCAAGCCCCCCGCGTTACAAGTTGAAATTACAATAGTTTCGATTTACAAGATTTCGTGACTGCAGGGATTCGTGTTCTTGGTTCTTTCGGTAAAGTCACGTAGAAGGGAAATAATAAAATAACGCAAATGAAACAATACAACGTTCTTGCCGTGGTTTTTCACACCTGACGATGATGATGATTGCTTGTGTTGCAATTGAAACGTCGTGAGAATTGTATTGTAAAAAATGTATTATTTTATTATTTCCCTTCTACGTGACTTTGCCGAAAGAACCAATAATATTATAATAGTTGTTCGCGATATCTCGTCTGGGCATCTATTTTCGTTGAATCCTGACCCTTGACGCAAATGTGACCGACTGCTTTATTTCAATTGGTGCCGGTGGTGGTGCCGGTGGTGTTGGTGGTGTCGGTGGTGGTGGTGTTGGTGGTGCCGGTGGTGTTGGTGGTGTTGGTGGTGGTGTTGGTGGTGCCGGTGGTGTTGGTGGTGGTGTAGCGGTTAGCGCTACGCTGCGCTACGAACCTGGCCACCCGAGTTCGATTCCCGCTCACGGCCACCAACACCCCAGTGACGACTATCTGAACCGATCCTGGGTCTCCCCTAGGTCGACTCAGCCTCAAACGAGCACCTGGCGCGGTGTATACGTCACCACTGGGGAGACAAAGGCGGCCGGGTGTGGTCTTGGCCACCCACCCCCTCTCGTGTGCCGTGCCGGCCTTTGTAGTTGCTCGCTAACGGCACTTGCCCCCGACAGTCTGTTAAGGCTACACCGGGGGGAGCTTTGTCTTTGGTCGGAACATCTACGTATCGATATATCGATTCTACAAAATATACCACCGATTCGATTCCAACACACAGCACCGCGATACGCAGTCTTTGACTTCAAAATCGACTCTCTTTTATTTGTTTTTAGTTCAAACGCGCAAACCAATCGATTCGACTCCTCGCTCACCTTCACCCCCCACCCACCACCAACCCCCCTCGTGCGCATGCGCGGCTTTGCTCGGACCCCACCTGCCCTTGCGGCCTGACAGCCCGGCCGCCGATGAGGGCGTCGCGCGCGGCGTTCCCCCCCTCGTGTGGCGCGCTCGCTCGCTCCGCTAATTCGCTCCGCTAGGCTTTAAGGAAGGCCCGCGCGCGGAACAATGCTGCGCGCCTCCTCCACCACATTAGCTCGGTAAGCACCAGTGGCCGTGCTCCCGCCCGCGCTCAGGGGGAGAGTGTTAAAAGGCCGCGCTTTTGGGCCTGTACCGCCGTGGCCTAGAACGCTCCGCCGCGTAAGGCGTGGGGGTTGGCGGTGCGACTGACACCAGGCGAGACCGAGGCTGCTGCCCCGTTGCCTCGGGTCGCGTTTGCTGTGCCAGCGGATGGGGCCTGGTGGCTCGGGAAGGTGTTCGTCATGGACGTGTCGTAAAATGTCACCGCCGCTCACGAGGTCATGGGTTGGTGGGTTTGGGGAACCTTGCGGCGATGGATGTCTGCCTCGGCGTGTATGTCGTGGCCACGTCAAGTTCACGATGGCTTTAATTGGTGCACCAAGTCGGGGCTCCCGGATTCCTGTTGTATGTAATGCACGCACGTTGAACTTCGTTCGCGCCGTACGTTCGCCAGCCGCGCTAATCGTAGATGCGGGCGGGCGTGGGGGGGGACAAAATAAAGCAAAACAAGCCGTTCTAAAGAAATGAGTTTTGAATCTTGAGGCCGGGGTGCTTTGTTTCTCAATGGTTGCGTCATGTTTTTTTTAACGACTTCACGTTTGTTGTGGTTTCGGTGAGACGCAGAGACGGGGGACCATTGGCCCTTTAGTATACTGTGTGATATGTGCCTGGCTCTGCCACTGACGAGACACCCGTAGCAATGTCTGATACCCCTCCAGCACAACCGAGGTCCTGGCTTAAAGCGTCGAGCGACGGAAGGGCGTCTGTCACGCAGTCGGTTTATGATGGCTGTGTCACACGTGTTACGGCTGTCAGACGAGTCCTCTGAGATCCAGGATTTTAACCCTATCGGGAACTTTCAGGGCGAGCGCAGTAGCCAAGTCAGAGCACCGGGTCTGCACAACTGAGGTCTCTCTACGGGGGATTTTTAATGTGCGATATTAGATTTAACTGTGCAAGCAGTGTTGATGTTCTGGGTTTAGGCCATGGAATTGTCGGAGTTCATAATGGCCATGTAAAGTTCGTGTTAGCGAGACACCACTGGGGTCCTATGTTTGAGCCTAATTTAACCTTATAAAACGAGATAAATGAGCCAGACAGATAAATGAGCTCTCATAACTGCCGAAATGTCATGTTGTTACACACCTTAGCATGGCATCCTATAAATGTACTCAGAAAAGACTCTTCATTTAAATATATTTCAAATCACCATTGGTCCTGGTCCATGCCTTGTGGTTGAAATTGACATTTCATTAACCCATTACATCTTTGGATACTTATCTGTCATTGAATTAACTTGGCACCATCAGAGATGTTTGCTAAAAACAAGGTTGCATCCTCTCTGTTTTTCATTTCAGCATAGAGAATACAGACATTCCCGATTGCCAAGCCTCAAAGCATGACTCGTTCAAATCTAATGTTTATAACTGTACACAGTTTATAGTGAGCATATGTGTTGTCAGTAGTTGAATTCAGTGCCTGGGTGGATGTGAATAGCAAAGTAGTGTGGAAGATGTGTGTAGATTCTGTAAATAATCTTGTCAATGGATTTCATCTGAGGTTATATAAATTGAGTGCAACAACAGCATGCCTGTATCCACCTTACACCACGATGTTCACAAACTTATCAGTCATCTGCAAACTTCCTGAGCACCTTACACTTGTCAGAATCAAATATTACATCACCTCATCCCTTTATCTTGTCCGCCTACTGCCCAGACCACTTTACCAAGACTGCACTCATCAAGATTATCTACTCCATTTGAGCTTTCCTTGATTTCTGTTCCACCATTGGTTTTGTCAGCCATGACATATCTGCCACCTTTTACACTTTAAATCACAAGATTTTGATTGAAGGCCTAGAATCTGATTTGGCACAGCTCTTCAGTGGCTCACATGGTTATCTCTCCGACAGAAGGTTCTACATCAAAGTTGGAAGTCCTAACCCCAGTCATCGCATCGACCGCAGGTGTCCTGAAGGAATCCATTCTAGGTCCTTTACTTTTCTCAGTCTGTATCTCCCCAATCAGCCGCCGTGTCCATAGTTACCACAAACTCATACCTACGATGATGACACTTAATTATACAGTATTTCACTCTAACCTCCGACCAGGGCCCACTGAACCTTGCCAATTGTACCTCTACCTTACAGCACTGGTTTTTGGTAAAATCACCTATGAAACCGAGGCACCAGTCAACGGCTCACCAGTATTGTTATCTCAACATCTACTCATTTCTGGCTCCATCTTTGGTCCCTCAAATCACATGAAAATCTTTGCTATCACCTTGAGTTTTCATTCTCACTTAACGATCACATGCTCAACATGATAAAGATATGCAATTTGCATCTCAAAGAATTATGGCACATCCTCTCAATGTTGACTGAAGCCCCCTACATATACACCTACCTTGATTATTGCAACGCCAGTCGTGCTCAGACTTCAGCAAAAACACCATATCAAACTACAGCATCTTCAAAACAACCTGTCACATACTGTCCTTGGTATTAGGCATGGCCATGGCTCCCCCGTCAAATCAAGGATAGAGTACAAAATCGTTATCCTGTGCCACCGAGCTCTTTCTCAAGGTCGCCCGCCATACCTCTCGTCACAGCAAACCGCTGGGTCCTTCGGGCTCTAACAACCTGCTCATTGTACCCAGAACCAGGACTGCCTTGGCCGAGCAGCATTTCTCCATAGCTGCACCAGACATCTTGAACTCTCTCCCACGGCACGTACGCAGCATCCATCAGCATCTACCTTAAAGCAGCAGCTCAAGGCTCTCATCTGTTGTGGCGGGCACACGAGGGACCTTGACCTCTGGTTCTGTGCCTTCCAAGTTCTTCATCGAACATTGCCCGACTTGCGAAATATGCATGCGTGATAAATTGTTTATTATTATACTTTGTTTTGACACACCATTGTCTATCCTAGGCTGTCATCACAGCAGAAGGGATGGCTTGTCCTGTCTGATGGGCCTGTGGGCCTGATGGCTGGTGCTCGCCGCGCCTCCCACTTTCGCTGCCTGCTGCCACCTTCTCTTTGCCAAGCCCGGCGCTACATACCTCAGGATGCAAGCGCACAACAGCAACATCATATCCACCACCTGCGATACCGCCGCGCACTTGTACGACACTACTCGGCGTTCACACGTGGACGTGGTTATAATTATCACCGGTCTGGACAAGGAGGTGGCTACGCAGGAGGAGGTCGGACACATGCCCGAACTTTTATTTTGGTACGGGTTGCAGCTCGGCTCTTGCGGCTGAGGTACCTTGTGCTTGGTACGGCAGTCGGAGGAAGCTATACTGCCAAGCAGGTATGTGTGCACCTCAATTTTATTGATACCGCTTGTGACTCACTCTTTAATCCTCTACCCAATGGTGGGTTCTTGGCTCAAACTCCTATCTTCTCCCATCTTGAGCTTCGTTATTTGCTTGTATTGCTCCTGTTCCTTCAAGTCATCAAACTGCATAGTTCTATTTCAACCTCTTGGTCTTTTTTTTACAACATCCTTGCAGAACATCAAGCTTCTTCTTTGGTTCTTTCGGTAAAGTCACGTAGAATGAGAATAAAATAATAAAATAAAACAATGAAATTCTCACGACGTTTCGGCCGCAACACAAGTAGCCGTCCTCAGGTAAATAAACAGGACTGTCCAGAAGACGGCGTCTTCTGGTCCTGAGAATTTCATTGTTTTATTTTATTATTTTATTCTCATTCTATGTGACTACCGAAAGAACCAAAGAAGATGAATCCTTGCAGTCACGAATGCTTTAAATCGAAACATCAAGCTTGTAAGATAATTTGCTCAGTAAACGTATTTTGTCTTTTCTTGTTATGATAAGATGCATCTCTTCCTGAAACTGCTCTAGAACGTCGTCTTTACTATCCAAATTATTTTATCTGTTTGGTCAGCGGAATTATGATTGTGGCTGCTGTCGTTTAATAATTAAGCCGTGCAGTGGTATGTGGAATATTATTTTACTTAATACTTTATTGTTCTTTGGATAGGTCTCATGGGTTGTGTTTGGGTCTGTGAATAATATTTCAGAAATATGATGAATGGAAGGATATGCTGCCAGACTTGACCGAGTACTCATGGGTGGTTCCAGAATTTGTTTGGGAACTCGACAAATACATCGACTTTGGTAAGCTTATCCACTTATATATGCGCACATTTACCATATTCTGCCTCGGTGTGACATGACTACCTAGTAATCGGGTTTTTCCCATTTTTTTTCTTCCAACAAAACTGAAACCTTTTTACAAGGATTCATGTCTGCATTAACCACAATACCTGCAGTCAAAATGCAAACAAAAAACATACACTATGATAATATTTGCATTTTGACTGCAGGTATTGTGTGATAATATATATCCAAGGACAATGCATATATTATCATAGTGTATGGTTTTTTTTTGCATTTTGACTGCAGGTATTGTGGTTAATACTGGTAGGAACTTCCCGGTTACACCAGCCCACAGGGGATTATTGTGTCCGTCTGTCGTGCATCCAAAAATGGGAGGGGTGGGGCTGGGTGGGGAGGGTGGGGAGGGGCTGGGTGGGGAGGGAGGGGCTGGGTGGAGAAGGTGGGGAGGTGCTGGGTGGCGAGGGTGGGACTGGGTGGGGGGTGGGGCTGGGTGGGGAGGGGCTGGTCACCCCGTGGTGCCCTTATAAAACTCAACGTTTAACCTACTCATGCCGGCTTGTGCCCGCCCTCACAATCGGGCATATTTGCGGAATACACCACGTGGTGCCGCTGACCCTGGCCACTGACCGAGCAACCCAACGTCCCTACCAGCTCCCTCCACAGGAATGTGTTGCAGACATGAATCCTTGTAAAAAGATTTCAGTTTTGTTGCCAGAAAAAAGGGAAAAAACCCTATTATATTTTGTTAGTGGCAAAGGAGGTCTCATGATACTTAGTAATCATTATGAGACTGCCATAGCATGTTTTTTGGGACTTTTTTCTAACCTCAGTCAATTGTGTTTGATTTGTAATACTGTATACATAAATGTGTTTGTAACAAGTATAAAATACTTTTAGATTTCACTGTAAGATTTCTTACTTAAGAATAGAAACTCAAGGCAGAGTGTTAAACTGAGAGCATTATATATTATGTTTATCATTTTTATAATCTTAAGAACATTTTAAAATATGTTCATAGTTGCTTTGGAGTGTAATTAACAAACCTTCAAAACAGAAAAGTTAACGAATAAATGTTTGTTTATATTATCAACTTATGCTGCAAATGACGTGCATTTTATTTAAATACTAGCAGAGTTTTGCTGCAGGATGTCTTTACTCTGCCTCTATATAACCTCTCCACCCCTGGTTACTAATGTATGCGCTGTTTGTGGTCTGCTTACAGACAAGATATCACAGAATCTGCCAGACAGGGAGGACCTGGCCAAGTTCCTGCCGAATCCTGACAAGGTGACGGAGTTCCTTCAGCGGCTACGCGACTCCTTGGCATCAGGTAATTCAGATCCTTCATGTGATTATATATATTAGCAGTGTGGATGCCTTATTTGTGGTGCCATCGTGGCGAGATGTTAACTACCTCGCCTGGTATGCAGGAGGTTTATGGTTCGATCCCAACACTTGCACATTTGGAGTTTGTATGTTCTCCCTGTGGTTATGGAGATTTTTTCTCCGGGTCCTCCGTTTTTTCCCTCCACATCGAGAGACATGCATTTAGAGTATTTGGCTGATTGAAATTTTCACGTGATAAGTCACTTCATTGAGCTATCATCTTTAGCCAGGTAGCTTCTGAAGAAGAGCTATATAGCTCAGTGGGCTTTAACTGATAAAATGTAAAAAAACATTGTTTAGTTTGGAAATTTACTATGGACTACTTAGTAAACCGCTGTCTGCGCTCCTCCCATTGAGGAGTAGCAAAACTACAGAATAATTCTCCTGAAGCCCTTTCGTAGCTAGCAGACCTCAAAATTGGCATTTCTTTCCTGAACATATTGCTATAAGCAAAAATATAATTTACATGAAATCACAGCTGGTGAGTAAACAGTGCCTTGGCTGTATTATGATTTTTGTCAAAAGTGCTTTTTACCCTCGAATTGTAATCCAAGACCTTGCATTCAAGTTAATTTGTAAATAACACTACCAGTGAATATCATTTAAATCAGGCTCACTTGGCCAATATTATTGAGAATCCTTGGTCTATGGAAGTAGAGTTGTGTGTGCGATTTATTGGTATGTAGGAATTTTTTTCAACTGGCCAATGCTTTTGTTTAGTTTTTTCATTACATGTAAATTCTGATGGACATTCCATCCGTACCTTTAGTTCAATTATCCAAGTTAGGAAGTATTTGTATTTTTTGCAGATACATTTTACAATGAAGGTTTTTTTTTTTTATACGAGTTATAGCATTCCAATTGTACAGATACATTTCAATTGGATTAATCTTGATAAATGCGCACTGTGAACATATTTATTTTACAGGGCATTGAGAAAGATAAGCTTTTTCTAATCAGCATGACCTTTTCATTTAAACCTGCTTTTCTGCACTGGTCATACAGATGCATTACACACTCGGCAAATGGTTTTGTTATTTTTTTTCATTGTTTGTTTTATTTCTCTTGTTGCTTTTGCTGGTTTTTGCAGGTGAGAGTTTGTTTAGAGATATCAAAGGAGCTGCAGGTCCACTTCACTTGTTAGGTGTGTAATGCTCTTCTCCCCTCTCTGATTGTTTTTCTTCAGCCCCGCAGAGAGCAGCATAGGGTTTATGAACTACAGGCAAGCTGTGTGTCCCCATTCATTTCTGCGTTGGCTACGGCGAGTTGAGCAAGCGGTGAATTTTGTTGCATTATGAGTGTGCCGAGCTGTCGGTTGATTGCGATGGGGTTATGTGGATATTCAATAGGTATACCTTCTCATCTCGACAAAACCACAACGAGGTTAGGGTGAGCCGGTCGTTGCATTTTGTGTGTTTATATCCTTATATGTGTGTTCCTAATTTTATAAAATAACGAATGTAATGTCAGCTGTTCATATGTATATATGTACATTTACAGCCCTTGTATCACGTCACTGCCGGATGTAGGTCGTGGGGGTTATTTTAACATCTTTTGCCACGCTGGTCAGTGCGAGTTTGTGAAGGCAGGGAGCATTGACGTGGGAGCCAAATACAGCGCCACAACGGTTTTGCTTGACTGCCGTCTGTTGCCCTCAAAAACGGAGAATTCATACGATTAGCGAATGTAAAAAAAACATACCTACACATTTTGGCCATATTGTCATTGGCCTCATCGTTTGTGTGTAAGATCTACTTATGTATTAAATGTAATTTTGAATGATATCTATGAAAAGACATCACCTCAATTGTAATGTCTTCACACGTTTCCAACATGAATTCAGCTTCATAAGGTGTCCCTTGATCCGCTCATCTCGCCTTGGCTGAATTTAAAAGGACGGTTCTTATACGCATGTTGGGCTTTGCAAATGGGGCTCGCGCGCACGCATCGGTTGTGTTTCTCCACGTTGGTTGTGCTTCTCCACATTTACCTTTTTTTTTCAGAGCCAGCTGCCTCAACAAGCATGAATGCATCTGATGGGGGCCTGGGTTTCAGCACGGCCGCAGATGGGGAAAAGAAATACAAAAAGGTAGAGCATACTCTGCGGCATTTGCTTGGATAGCTGAGTTTCACTATTATATACTTGTTTGGCTTAAAATGTCCTGACCCTTTCAGTGCCAACTTGGCTATTGAACAAAATCTCATTCTTCAAAAAGAACCTCACACCGGCATTAAAATTATACTTTTGTTGACCTGTGTTTGTGTAAAGTTCCAGTTGGAGAGTGTCCCGGTGATCTAAATTGTTGATTGTCTAGTATTTCAAAGAATAATTATAATTCCAATCAACTGTTTTTCCAATATTCTTGCATAACTCAATTCACAAAGCATTGCAACTGATGCGTGTTTTATTTTTATTCATGTTTTTGCTCTTACAAGGAAATTAATTGCTTGGCCATTGTGTATTCAATTTAAATTCAGTATATTCAATAGCTTGGTTTAGTATGCATAAAATAAATTGACTGTAATTTATTGTTTAGTTTAGATTTTGTAAATATATGCTAGGTCTCCATTTAATAACAGGACTCGTCTTTTTTTCTATAAATGTCAAATATACAAAACTAGCGCTTCCCAAGGGCAGTACTGTATGTGTTTCTGAATGACAAATAAATGATATTAATTGGATAAGTGACTGCTGCAATGTAAACTGATCCCACTCCATTTGGTATAAGGACTCACTTAAAGCTAAAAGCATCTGCAGGCGTATTCATTTTTTATATGGGACGCGTAATTACGATAAAATGAAGTAGATATAGCATTGGGAGGTTTTAAAAACCCCATTTCCATTCTCCTTTCTTCACATCCTGCCTGTAGTCTTTGCTGAAGTTGTCCTGTGCCCTTGCCCTGTTGTGTTAAAGCCACGTTCATGAATTTTCATTTTAGTTGCTTTTATTTGTATATTTATTTTTGTTACATTGTCTTATTAAAAACACTAAATATTTTGTGGCTGGATAGCCTATTAGCATTCCAGCCACAAAGCCAGTGTGCACAATGGGTATTTCCCAGAGATTCCCAATCAATTCTGTGGAACAGTCACCAATTTGCTCATGTTAAATACTCTTTGAGACCTGTTTGTCACAGCTTGAATCCACGATAACGACAAAAATACCTGCAAGGGACTGAGCAAAATGCTGTCCCCTCGTCGTAACTCCCTCTAACCAGGTCTCCTCTGGATGAAGCTCAATGGGTATTGTCACCTCGTTATAGAACAATAACTGATAACATTATTTTTCCCATTGTTGCATGTATGTACTGTCTGTGTTGTGTCATTTCTCTGGCTTTGCCCACCAATTACTGCTACCCCCCCGCCCCTGCGTGCTTGCCCTAAACCCTCACCCAACCTCCCAACCTGCCTGTGCATACCAATAAACCACTGGGGCGTGCCCCCTTGCTATGGTCACCAATATCGGTGACCAGGGTCTCCTTGGAGAGCTCATCCTGATCCAGCAGCAGATCCAGCAGCACGAGGAGGAGGCCCGGCGCTCGGCGGCACAGACCTTCCCCACCACGCCCCAGTACAGGCCCAAGGTGTGCCAGCCAGCCACCTGCCGTTGCCTGACCTGGCTTGATCTTGCTTGGCCCTAGCTGGCCATCCAGGCAGCGTTGAACAATTGCCATGTCAGTTTGTGAAAACATTACCTCTACAAGATAATGATGCAAATTGTTAATGATGCCAAGTTTACTTACCCAAGAAAGCCCACAGTCTAAAGATTGTATTTAGGGAAGGCCCTGCTATGTGATGCTTGACCAGTACCATTAATATGGGAGCAAATTTAAGTACCCATAGAAATCTCGTGTATAGAAGAGTGTCTGATATTCGCTTATATCTCGCTTATAATTCCTGGCAAGACCTTGGTGGTCAGCTATCGGACTACTAATCCGGCTCAACACTGCATTTTCAGCGCATAATGAAAAAAAATATTAATTATGACCTGTCCCACTTTAATTAGGGCATCTGCAATTATGTAGTTTTTGTGCAGCTACCCAACGCCATTGCAATGATTGTAGGTAGCATGGTCTTAAAGTAGTGTATTTTTCAGTGTGTTTGCATGTTTAGGTTTCATCTGTATGATGAATACATGGGTTGGGATCACTTACATTATAAACCCTCATTGGTTAATGAAGTAGGGTGCTGAAGAGACTGAGAACTATTCAAACAAACATAATAAGATATGTGTTCATGACAGTGGGAAGCGCTAGTGTAACTTACTGAAGTCGAACTGACGTTACTTGTACATGCCATGAATGTTGATATGCAACCGATACTGAATTTTACAGCTAAATATATATGGTATCAGTTACAAATTTAAGGTCAAGAGTGAAATTCATAATGGTCAGTGATGCCACTACACCTGGCCATTGCTTCTGCTAATTATAAGTTGCTTTTTTGTTATACATTAGATTATGCCTATTGTAGCTTCGGCCATCGTTTTGTTCACTGACTCGCTGATTGCTGAGTGGATCCCTGCAGTGATCTTGCTCCAACTCTTCCTATACAGATCTCAGACAAGGACAGATCTGACCAACTGCAGGAGGAGCTGCTTACGACTCAGGTAACCAACACCGAGTATCACTTCAACAGATCCATCTCCTGATTATGAACGTAACCATGAATATGGATTGCTTCATCAAGAAAATACAGAAGGGTCAACAAAGCACTTTAGAGTATTCTTTTGTAGGCTATGAATATTTTCAACTTACTCTGCCCAACCAGTCATCGTGCTGTCAACACCCTGCATCTATTCAAGTCCAGACTCAAGACCTTCCTTTTTAACTTTGCCTGTGTCTAACTGCCTCTTAATATAAATATGCCCACTGATTCTGTATAGCATCCTTGATATGCTATGTCAATCAACATTTTATTATTTTTCTTTATTGGAGTCAAATCTAAATTAACTGTGGTTCTGATTAAAAAAACAAAATCCAGAAGTACGCATGTAACATTTTTTCATTATTATATGAGCAATCAGTTTTCGGCAGTGATAATTTTCAGTGTGCCGCTTGTGCAGATGAAGTACCAGCGGATTCTGGAGCAGCTTGAGAAGGAGAACAAGGAGTTGAGAAAGCAGCTTCTGCAGAAGGACGACAAGGGTATCCATCAGAGGAAGGTCAAGGTGATATATACAGAGGAGTGACCACAAGCGAGGGACTTTGTTTTCCTCAATTTGGACAATGACCGCTGCCGAAGAATCGTGATCCTAACACTTCTCTGCTTTCTTTCTTCCCGATGAAACAGAAGTCGTTGATTGAAATGTACTCAGAAGTTCTGGACATCCTTTCGGACTATGATGCCAACTACAACACACAGGATCAGTTGCCACGGGTGAGACAATCTCAGATTATTTGTGATTATAGGCGTTGGTGAATTGTTTCGGAAAGTAAACACCTTCTTGAGTTTTGATTTAAAGCTTCCGTGACTGCAGGGATTCATATTCTTGGTTCTTTCGGTGAAGTCACGTAGAAGGGAAACAATAAAATAATTAAAATATTAAACAATAAAATTATCACGACGTTTCGACTGCAACACAAGCAATCATCATCAGGTGTGAAAACCACAGCAAGAAAATTTTAAAAAAGTGGCGTTTTTTTAACGTTAGCACCACGGAGAGCGATTTGATAGTTTGTTCAGATGGACGAGTCTATCTATGTTCGGAAAAGAGGAGGGGGGAGACGAAAATAATGGATGCGGTCTGAAAGCCACCGTAAGCGTGAACAATCAATTAAGACCCGAAATGGTTTATCAAATCCTTCCAATGATTGCTAAGCCAGAATACATCTTCTAGGTTGAAATTGTCTCTGTGTTTGTATGTTCACTGGCTATGTGTTCCTGGTCGGATATGCATTGGGCTCTATGGCGCAGAGTCTTGATGAGGGAATTCTTCTGGAAACACATAGCCAGTGAACTCAAGCACGTACACCAAGCTCTTAAGGCTAATGGTTACTCCGACTACACAATCCGCAAAGCTATCACTCTAACCATGAAGAAGGACCCTCTTGAGGAGCCTTTCAAAACCATCAATTTACCCTACATAGCGGGGATCACAAAAAAGATCTCCAAAATCTTGAATAAACACAAGATCCAGGTCCGATTCAACACATTACATAAAATCCGTGATCTGATTCCGTCTGTAAAATATGTGATTCCGGATATACATTACCCTGGTGTCTACAAACTAAGTTGCCTTTGTGGTAGTAGTTACATTGGAGAAACCAAACGACATGTCTTGGACCGCATTCGTGAACACAAAGCAGACCTAAAACACGGAATGGACCAACACCTCGGCCGTGGCAGATCACTGTTATAATTCATTAGGCTCGCATGACATTGACTTCTCCAAGACAGAGGTTCTTTGCAAGCCATCTGGCTACTATGAGAGATTCGTTCATGAGGCTATCCACATATACAAACACAGAGACAATTTCAACCGAGAAGATGGATTCTGGCTTAGCAATCATTGGAAGGATTTGATAAACCATTTCGGGTCTTAATTGATTGTTCACGCTTACGGTGGCTTTCAGACCGCATCCATTATTTTCGTCTCCCCCCTCCTCTTTTCCGAACATAGATGGACTCGTCCATCTGAATAACTGCCAAATCGCTCTCCGTGGTGCTACATTAAAAAAACGCCACTTTTTTCAAATTTTCTTGCTGTGGTTTTCACACCTGATGACGATTGCTTGTGTTGCAGTCGAAACGTCATGACTCTACCAAAAGAACCAAGAATACCTTCTTGAGTGTTTTCCAAAATAATTCTGCATGAAACATGAACAACCACATTTCCCAACCACTGACTGCCAGGTTTATTGGGTCCCTACAAATGTGTATTGTGGTTTTACATTTTCGTTTACACTAGCATTGCCCACGCATTTGCACGGGATAGACGGCCTGGATTGAGGGTGGGCGACGTGTGAATTGCGGACGGCTTAAGGCTGTGCGATGCGGGTGACGCCATCGTGCAAATGTGCGGGTGACGCCATCGCGCTTATGTGTGTGGTGACGGCACCACCACGAATGTACACCTGCGCGCCAGCCAGCCATCAAAACTTTTTCATAATGTAGTATGCGCATGTTTTATTGAGTTTCGCACAAACATGCTTAAACTTGTCCCGAAATTTCATGGATGATAATTCATGAACAAGAAATAATTAGATTGAAAATGTCAAAGATGTACACTAATATAGCACTATTTAATTGTGGTGACAAATTATGCATGAAACAAAAAGCAGCATCTCAATTAAAACAGAAATTTAGCATTACGAATATTCATTAAAATGCATTGTTGGAAAAATGTAATAAGTTGTTAAATTGTTGACAGGTGGTAGTGGTTGGAGACCAGAGCTCGGGTAAAACCAGCGTGCTGGAAATGATCGCTCAAGCTCGCATATTTCCACGTGGCTCTGGAGAAATGATGACCCGTTCACCCGTCAAGGTATGTTGCTGCGCACTTCGAAACTACGTTGTATGTATGTTGAACTTTGTGCTCATCGAAGGTGCGGGGGAAGGACAAACTCAACGCAAAAATCAGTTCAGAAATAAGTTTTCAATCTAGATTTAAAGGTGGATAGTTCCAGTGGCTTCCTAATATCAGAAGGAAGAGCGTTCCATACGGCCGCGGAAGCGCATCTGAAAGCGCGCGATGCAGTGAAGACCACCTTTGTTCGATGGCTAGCCAAAAAAGCAGCGAGTGGTGTAGATGGCACTCATTGAGCGTTTTGTTGTTTCCAGGTGACGCTCAGTGAAGGTCCGCATCACGTGGCCATTTTCAAGGACAGCTCGCGCGAGTTCGACCTGACCAAGGAAGACGACGTGAGTCTTTAGAAGCATCCGCTGACCGAGCTAGAGAAGCGTGTAATACACGTGGAATGTCAGACAGCAAAGCTTGACTGTTTTAAACACCTTGCTTTTGTATTGCCTTCCTATTGTGCGTGTGTTTTCCGCTTAAATGTTAACTGCTCATCCCTCTTAACGCACACGCTCGTGTTGAAATCTTTCATTTTGTGTGATGTCTCATTTGCCCTCCAGCTCGCAGCTCTCCGCAAAGAAATCGAAATACGAATGAAGAAGAGCGTAAAGGAAGGGCACACCGTCAGTGCAGAGGCAAGGCTCAGCACTTTGCACGAGGCAACATCACTGGAGCAAAGCATTGCACCGTTTGGATAGGCAAACACGATTCCTGGCGCCACGTACAACTATAATAACTCGGTTTTCTATAGTGCAATTCCCACAATGCCTCATAGCACTTTACATGAAATGTTAAGTTGTGGAGAAAGCCTCTACAAATGGGTGAGTTTTAAGACGTGATTTATAATGTGTGAAAAATTCGCCAATGGAGCGTGGAAGGGAATTCCACAACAGTGGAGCCTGGCTGGAAAAAGTCTATAGGAGACTGACTGTTTTCTTTCCCTTCTCTCTTATCCGCAGACGATATCTCTGAGTGTAAAAGGACCTGGTCTCCAGAGGATGGTGCTGGTGGATTTACCAGGTGTCATCAGTGTAAGTGTTTAGTTGGTAAAGTGTTATTTCTCCGTAGGTGACAAATTTTTTCCCCTTAAAAAATAGTTATTCTAATAAAAATCTATTCGTTTAAGTGTAGTAACTTACCACTTTTAAAAAAACGTAATTGTTTCTCTTGAGCAGCTGATGTTGGCAGTGTAATGTGTAGTGATTATAGAGTAGTGTCTTAATTTTGACCATCTGGAATTGGATCAGATATCTTTTGAAGCTTATTTCGACTTCAAAACCAAATCACTGCATCCACAATACGTTTGTGTAACAAAGTTAAAGGGACATGTACAGTTTATCATGTTGGCAAGTAGCATTAGTTCTTTGAAAGGACATATACATTGTTGGGGCAAAAATACTCATATCGAACATTTTCAAGAGGTTTTAAACAAATATCACTCAAAAAAGTTACATAAGAAACCAATAATTGCGTGCTGATATTGCTTTGCTCAACACTTGGCAATGTTTATATTTCTGCAGACCATGACTTCCGGAATGGCTCCAGACACCAAAGATGCGATATTCGCGATGAGCAAAGGCTACATGCAGAATCCAAATGCAATCATCCTGTGTATACAAGGCAAGTTCAGACCCTGTCCCAATTCTCAGCATCCATCCCAAAATCCCACGATATAATTTGTGCACGAGTGGAAACAACAGATACAAATAAAGTACCTAATTAGAACATTGGAACCACTGCTGCTAAGTAAATATTAGCAATGTACCAGTTTTTCGATTAGAATATTTTATTTCACTTAATGATACACGTATGTGTTTTAGAAACACTTATTTTATATTTGTCACAAGCTATGTGCAGCATTTACCTTTAGGTGGAAGGATTGAACAAGATAACATACGAGAAAGACGTTACAAATGAGAGACGACAAACGAGCCCAAAACAAATACCTAATAAAACACTGACAGCAAATACAAATTTATCAAATTGTTCTTACATGTCTATTGACCCTAGTCTAGAACACATCCTAAAGCCATCACTTTGGTCACTTTTGAGAGTGCATAATTTCAGCAGCATTTGTTTAATACAAGAAAACTCTGGACCTGTTTAGACATGTTTTGCATTGTCAGCAGAGTCAGGCTTACTGCCATATGTTTATAGGCAATAACCCTTTGTTTCGATATGGTCCTCATTTTACATAAATCTATGTAATGCATAACGAAATTATCATTAGAGTCAATATTGTATATGTGGATACTGACAGCTGTAATATGCAGGGCAGTTTAAGTAACCCATAATCACTTTACAGACGGATCTGTGGATGCGGAGAGAAGCATAGTGACCGATCTGGTGAGCAACATGGACCCGCAGGGCAAGAGGACAATCTTTGTCCTCACAAAAGTGGACCTGGCAGAAAAGAACCTGGCCAGCCCCAACAGAGTGAGTCAGAGCATGACTGCAGCTGCGTTTCATCCAGTAAATGTAAAAAAAAATTAACACGAACCGGGCAACAGGCCACCCTAGCACTGTTTGATGCCACACCGCCCCTGTAAATCCGTGTACAAACATTGCCGTCAAGGCAACTTGTGGGCATAAGTACAAGGAGAACATTTTCTGCAAGTGTTTGATGTTTGAGTTGTAATAATAATTGCTCTTTGTAAATCCACTCCTGAATGAAGGCCTCTCCAGGTCGTCTTGGTTATGGGGGTTGTTTGATCACAATTAATCATGCTGGTGAGGGCACGGTTGGTGAAAGTTGAGATGACCTGGACTGTATCAGACACCACTTGCCTTTAATGTTAGCCGTGGCCAGGAATCAAACTAAGGTTGTCTGGTTCATAGCACAGTACGCTAACCACTGCACCACCACTAATCCCCTAAGCTTGACTTACACCAAAGCATTACTCATACTAATTGTTTTTTTTTTGTGTAAATATGAAGCTGGAAATCTCACGTTTTTGAAATGTCATAGTACAAATAAATTTTTTGATGCAGCATTGGGAGTGGTGCATAAGAAAAATTAACAATAAACACAGCACATTCACCAATCACATACATGCACTTTGAAGAATAACTATTTGCAGAAATTCCGCCTCTTATATGTTTATATTTTTAAGGTAGTGTTGTTGTTGAAATTGTTGAGTTTTGTTTTTAATGAAAGTACACTAACAATATCATACCTGTCAACCCATATGGTTTACTCATATTCTTGTACAGGGAAATTGAGTTTTCAGGTCCATACGGCGTACAGTCGTTTCAATACGGGCAAAACAAAAAAAAGTGTCTATGTTTCTGTTTCTCCCTTGTGATGGCACTTTGTAGGATGAACGTTGAGATTTATAAGTGCACGGGGTGACCAATAATGCCTGAATTGGTCTGTAATAAGGTAGGCACTAATAAGGGGTTGAGAGTTATGTAATATGTGAAATAACATTTATAGTCTAGTTCATTATGTTGCTCATGTGCAATGTGCGTCTACTGACATGTTACATGCCAACCCTTGGGGACATTGGCACGTGTTTTCCCCCCCCCCCCCCCCACAAGTTTGAAACCCAAGTTACATTCTCCTACGTGTCGTTTTTTTTGGGAAAGGGCATCCGCTGTACATTTTTTTTCCCCGCAGATCCAGCAAATCTTGGATGGAAAGCTCTTCCCAATGAAGGCCCTGGGTTACTTTGCGGTTGTGACCGGCAAAGGTAAGCGTGTGCGCGCTGGCAATTGCACACAAACAGCCAATATCATTGCACCCACGTGCAGTTCTTAAAGCAACTTTGTGTTGATTTTTTTTTTTAATTTTCCACTTCATGTCTTTTGTAATTTTTAGGAAATAGAGATGAAAGCATCGAATCAATCAAAGACTACGAAGAAGAATTCTTCCAGAAGTCCAAACTCTGCAGGTGCTTAATAATGTATTTTATTTAGGTAGAACATCATGCTTTTTACATTATGCCGTCATTAAATTTATAGTAATTGTAGGAGCAGTAGTTCTAGATAAGGACATGCTTGTGTAACCTTAACTAAATGTAAAACGTATTCTTGGTTTTTTCGGTAAAGTCAAGTAGAAGGGAAACAATAAAATAATAAAAATATAAAACAATAAAATTCAAGAAAATGTTCTTGCTGTGGTTTTCACACCTGATGATGATTGCTTGTGTTGCAGTCGAAACGTCGCGATAATTTTATTTTTTATATTTGTATTATTTTATTGTTTCCCTTCTATGTGACTTTACCGAAAGAACCAAGAATATGAATCCCTGCAGTCACGAAAGCTTTAAATCAAAATGTAAAACAGTTGATTGTCTGCTCTGGGGGACATTTATTGAAATAGAATGAAGGCCATGGATGTATTTCATTAGGACTTAATTTAGTTGTACATATTGGAGATATAAGTACATGTGCAATATAGGTGTATCAGCAGAATGTATACCAGATGAATATATACAATGTTTATTTGGGAAACCAAACTATGTAAATAAATGTATTAAATGTGATTACACGATTGAGACAATCACTCGATTTACATGTAAAAATAGGTGACATCAAACCTTGTCCAAATGAATCCCCGTATGATTTATGCAAGTTAAAAATGTGTTTACAAACCTTCCTTTAACCCTGCTCGGCTCTGCGGTATGTTAGCCTATTAAGTATGTTGTCATTCTATCCATGATCTTCATGGACAATTTGTATATGCGTGCAATAATAGGCTAATGGAACTGTTGCTCTTCAGTCGTATTTATCACCTTTGGCAATGGACGCATGAATGACACTTACTCACAATCCTCTGCAACAACTGAGGGTGCCGTGGTGACGAGATGTTAACTACCTCGCCTAGCGTGCAAGAGGTCGCGGGTAGGATCCTGACCCTGATGCTTGTATATTTGGAGTTTGCATGTTCTCCCTGTGGCCATGTAGATTTTTCTACGGGTCCTCCGGTTTTTCATTCTACATTTCGAAACATCCCTTTTAGAGTATTTGGCTGCTATAAATTTCCACATGAGCTACTTCGTTGAGCTATCATTTGTGGCCAGGTCGTTTCTGAAAAAGAGCTATATAACTATAGGCCTTACATGGTAAAATGAAAAGTCAAGCTTGGTTTAACTATAGACAGTATATGGATATAAATCATCATTGCATATAATTTTCTATTTTTATTTTTTAGTATTCATATGATGGTGCTTTGAGTGGCAGATTTGGTGCCATTAAAGGCGCTACGTGTTTTAAGCAAAAATAAAATGTACTCGACTTGGGTTTGTGTACTCGCCCTGCGGTGTTGCTCGACGCAGGTCGGGGATGCTCAAGGCACATCAGGTTACGACGAAAAACCTGAGCCTGGCTGTGTCCGACTGCTTTTGGAAGATGGTGCGCGAGTCTGTGGAGCAGCAGGCAGACGCATTCAAAGGTTAGCGTTGCAATCGATCAACGCCGATACAGTCCGATGCTTGACCACCTGAATGTGCAATACAGTGAAACCTTGGAATGCGAGCATAATTCGTTCCGGAAACGTGCTCGTAATCCAAAGCACTCGTATATCAAAACGAATTTCCCCATAGAGAAATAATGGAAACTCAGGTGATTCGTTCCACAACCCAAAAATACTGTATTCATATAAAAATTATTAATACAAAATACCTTTTTATATTTTTACTACTTAAATTTTATATAAAGTAATCAAATGTATTAATTACATCTAATCGTGGCTGGTGTGAGGGAGACGAGAGAGGGAGAGGAGGAGGGTTATTGTGTAGGACGACTTTCACTTGCAGTACAGTTACTAAAGAACAGTCACTACACTTGGACACAATAACAAAATGTCTTACGCACACACACGTGGTCACAACACTATACTGTAGTTTGATTGTATACGCTCGCACGGATGTTGACTATACGAGTGAGGCACGCCGACTGAGACCGAGCATGGGAGATGATTACCCACAATCCCGCAGCGAGAGAGAGAGAAGAACCATTGGCTCGGTTGTGATCACGTGACGCTCGGCAGACGGAGCGTATACTGTACGTACTGCTCGCATTGCAAGGCATCGCTCGTTTATCAAATTATTATTTATTTAAAAATGTTGCTTGTCTTGGCAAAAACACTCGCAGACCAAGTTACTCGCAATCCAAGGTTTCACTGTAATTGTAGTTGTCGCTCTGGGTCTACGTCAGCCACACGAAAGAAAGAAGGAAGAACGCCGCAAGCAGTTGCACCCTTTTTTTGTCCTCCAGTCCAAAATGAAACGAAGGCGCATCGCATCATGAGATGAAGTAGCCATTCGTGTCTTTGGCAGAGCAGTGCAACGCCTAGTGTTAGGAGAACAGTCGAGAGAAGCAGATATCGCAGACCTCCACACAGTATTGGGGTGTTTCCCTTTCCCAGTCGTTGGTGACCTGGCTGCAACCGTCAACTCGCTCGGCTCGAGGAGTCGATTTAATTTGCAAGCTGTTGTCTGAATTCAAAACCCAGGGTCTCCAATGGTGCCTTCAGCGCTCTGCTCGCTGTGCCACTAAAGTTGAGTGTTCAGTCATGCTTTTTTGTGCGTTTTAAATTCATAATTGATTGCTGTTGCCGCTTGCAAAGTATTAAATAGGGTAACGGTTGTGTGGGGTGCAGCTACGAGATTTAACCTGGAGACCGAATGGAAAAATAATTACCCAAGGTTGAGAGAGCTGGATCGGGTGAGTGCACCCATAACACAATATACCTTTCTAGCATCCCATTACAGCCTTGAGATATGCATCTGTATGTGTTTTCTCATTGTACGCAACATTCACTACAAAAATAAATGCATCAAAGGGCTATCTATACAGCGCAGCCACGAAAATGTACGTCGTATTGTTTTGTTAAATGTCTATTACGTGTGTGGCTTAGAATGAACTCTTTGAAAAAGCCAAGAATGAGATTTTGGATGAAGTCATCAGCCTCTCACAGGTCACTCCCAAGCACTGGTAAGATGCAGTCATTCTCAAGCTGGGCAGAAAATAATGTTAAATAAATATGACCATGTTATATCTTGGCAGTGCTAAGAAAACAACCTAATTAATTTGGATATGTAACGCCAAATTTCCATGTCTGTCCGCCTTCATGCATTTTATTAATTATTACGTGCATCTTACGACACTAAAACATATCACTGTGACCAAATAAAACAGTTAGTTTTGGCCAATTCCCTTCGTGACGAATTCTCAAAATAATAACTCTTTGTTTGATGTGGTTTATTCCGAATTGCTCCTCGTTTGACGATTACGACACCCCCAATTATTTAACACGTGCACTACGGCTTGTGCCCTACCATGTAGTTGATGATGGTGATTAGGCATGTGAAGTTTCACAGCGCCAGTAGTTGGAGAAAGTGTCAAAGGGTTGTGCTCGTGTTTACGTTCAAGAATCAGTTCTCCTCCGTGTTATTTTGACCTCGTTGCTTCAAAATGTTTAGTCACATTCGTCGAGTTTTGTTCTTGCCAATGGTCTAAATTTGACATTGGCACCGTTTTCATGAATGCAAAACAATCGATAAATACACGTGTGATTTTACACCTATGATTAGATCAAGAATCAATTACGATTGATAAATTGTTCCATGTATAATCATGCTAACTACCCAAATGCATCAGATCTCAGAAGCTAAGCATGATTGAACCTGGATAGTTGATGTTGGCTTCTGTGGGGTTGCATTGTCAGCAGAGGCCAGTACAACAACATCCATTGTAATGTACGATGCTCGATCTATGCTGCCTTCGCCCACGCACACTGACCAATGTGGTGAAGGCAAACAACCGTCATTGATCGTCATGGCATGGAAACGCTCTCATCGAGCAGTGGATTGATGACGAGAATGACGGAGGTGGCGACGAATTGCTCTTGCTTTGACCCTGCAGGGAGGACATCCTGCAGAAGAAGCTGTGGGAGCGAGTGTCGACGCACGTCATTGAGAACATCTACCTTCCCGCTGCACAGTCGGCCGACTCGGGCACTTTCAACACGACGGTGGACATCAGGCTCAAGCAGTGGGCCGAGAAGCAGCTGCCCAACAAGGCCATCGAGGTGACCATAGCTGCTCCAAGCTCCTTTACCCAGAAGCGGAACGAGCGTGATGGCAGGAGGGGGGTCCCTTGGCCTCCCCCTGGTGGCCAAAGCTGCGAGTTGGGACCCCTTGATAACCACCATGAGATATGTTTTTCAACAACAGTAAAAAGGAACAAAAACTTTTTTTAAACCCGGCTTACATTTATTTTTTTTATTAAAATTATTTCATTTCCATTTCACGTTTTATTATTATTTAATTGGAGTGGTAAGGTTTGGCTTCTGCAAATTGCGTAAATCAAATATTGGGGTCCCACCGGACCGATGGCCGCACCCCCTGAGCTGATAATGTCGTTACGCCGCTGCCTTTACACGTCTACTTTTTATACCTACAGCCTACTTTTCAATGTGTATTGAAGCAGTGTGAGCTTTTTTATTTATCTCCCTGTAATTAGTAATTTCCTGAATCGACATAGTGTGGTGATACTGCGTAGCAGGTTGGAAACAGACGAGACGAATAATCCACACAAAAGGTTATTTTCGAGTTGGCAAAAGTCCCAATCGTGACTGTTACCATCGGTCGTTCCATCATGCCTCGCATGCCACATTGCATCACCAGAAAGTGTATAATGCACACGGCCTTTACTTTTAGACTGCCACCTCAGTGTAAAAATTGTTGCCACGTTTCTCTCGACAGCAGCGTGGGACAACAAGACCGTTGTATACTGGTTTAATCCTTTTTGTTGCAGGCTTTATTATCAGCACAGTATCGCCATCATTGCCTAAGTGCTGCCTTATTAACGGGACATTTGTCCGTCGCCGCTCTGCGATTCGGCCCTGTGACAACCGCGCGCGTGCCTTCCTGCACCCAGGTGGCGTGGGAGACGCTGCAGGAGGAGTTCTCCCGATTCATGGCCGACCAGAAGGGCCAGGAGGCAGACGACATCTTCGACAAGCTCAAAGAGGCGGTCAAGGACGAGGGCATCAAGCGGCACCACTGGAATGAGCAGTCCGAGGATAGTCTGGTACAGCGCACACACTTTACACCTCCTGTTGGTGATATTTCACATACGAAGCCGACCGGTTAGTGGCGAGATGTTAATTACCTCGTCTGGTATAAAGGAGGTTGTGGGTTCGATCCCAACCCTGACACCTATTTGGAGTTTGCATGTCTCTCTGTCCGTGGTCACGTGGATTTTTCTCCGGGTCTTCCGGTTTGTCCCTCCACATTTAGAATCAATGTGCATGAAGGGTATTTGGCTGCTGTAAATTTCCACGTGGTAAGCCACTTCGTTGAGCTGTCGTTTGTGGCCAGGTCGTTTCTGAAAAAAGAACTATATAGCTCAGTTGGAATTACCTGGTAAAATAAAAAATAGTGTAGTATTAGTTTTCTAATATTCACTCTACCAATTCAAACAATAGCCCAGCATGCGATCTGAGCCCTGGTTCAAAATCGTTCAATGGATAAGGTGTGTGCCACTGGGGATGGTGTGTGGGGCCGGGGGATGGGGCGCCATTTAATCTTAATGGGCTTCCCACTATATTGTATAAACCGGCGAGTGGAAAGAGCCGTGTGAGTTGATGACTGGCGAGTGGTGAATGTCTAACGAGAGTCAGGTGAGTGTTACGTCACCCCGTCTATTGAACGGAATTACCCACGAGTATTATATACGTTCGTTTGACCACCTGTCCGAGGACTCCTTCACATGCTTTCACAAAAAAAACAACAACCCTCGAACCCAGCAATGATTAAACTTAGCACTTACATTATCTCTACCACTTCTCAGTCCTGTAACATTGGCTATGACTATATAAGAACGTGTTTTTTTATCGTTAAGTTAAAAATGTGTGCTTAGCAGAACAAATTACAGGATGAATCAACTGCACGTTATTGTCACTGGCAGCGTGATTTTTTAAACGGATGGACAGTTTCCCTATTCCTTTGCACCATGCCCTCCTTGCCGCTCTCGTGTACTCCGCGTGCCCAGAGGGTGATACAGCACAACGCGCTGGAGGACCGCTCCATCTCCGACAAGCAGCAGTGGGATGCCGCCATCAAGTTCATGGAGGACACGCTGCAGGCTCGACTGCGTGACAGTACGATACACACACACGCACCCCTGTTATCACGCATTAAAGTATTTCGAGCTGGTGGTCTGAATATAATGCCGAGAGCTTTTCAAACGTGCGTGCATGCACGTACATTGAACGTCTATCGCTTCGTACGTAGCCAACCGTACTAATCGTAGGTGCGGGGGAAGGACGACAAACTAAACACAAACATCAGTTTTAAGTAAATTAATTTTCGATCTAGATTTGAAAGTGCACAGCTCTGGTGGCTTCCTAATAAAAGAGAGTAATACATACGATGCACATCTTTGTTATTAAATCTACACACACTATACAAAGACTCACCGTGTGGCCATACAGGCTGTTGGGACAAGTGCTGTTACCAAATGACTCTTAATGATGGGGTGAGGTGGTCCGTACCATACCCAGCCACCTTTATATCCCAAGTTCTGATATTCACACACAGCACCAATGACTCATTTAAATCTTAGTTGACCCAGGGGAAGCCCAGAATAATTTCACATGCCACCTTCCACTGATGTTGTCTATGCCCAGAAATCAAACCAGGGACGTTGCGTTTGTAATGGCATGCGTTAACTCCTGCGCCACGATTCCAAACACACACAAACTTTATGCGCTTCATCTTTTCTTATTTGATGCATCAACATAGTCTGTCTATGCATGGTTTTAATTTTGTAATGATCAGTATAGATGATCATTAAAGTCTATATTTATTGACACACTACTGTTATGTAGAATTATAATAAAGGTTTATATTGGGTGTTTGAACATCTTAACACCTAAATTTTGATTTAAAGCTTTCGTGACTGCAGTAATTCATATTCTTAGTTTTTTCGGTAAAGTCCCTTCAATGTGACTTTACCGAAAAAACTAAGAATATGAATATATCTTAACACCTGTTTCATTGCCAGAAAGGGTAAACCCTATTATTTTTTCAGAAATATTCTGGTTCTATCCATGAGGTTTGTGGTTTGGAGGATGTTGCAAACGTCATCAGGCGCAAGCAATCTTCCGCCTGATGATGATTGCTTGCATTGCGATCGAAACGTCGTGATATATTATTTTTTCTACCGTCGTGACTTTACCGAAAGTACCAAGGAGTATGGAGTCCTGCAGTCACGAAAGCTTCAAATCAAGATTATAACCAAATCCTCACTACAATCTCCATGCAATGAAATGTTATGGTTGCACAACATCCTCCAAATGAAAAATGTATGCACTTTAGCAGTATCTATGCAGTTTTATTGGATATACCCCAAAAATAACAATTATTATTCTTCATTGTGCTTGTAAATAATATGTCCGTGTATTTTCCAGCTGATAATGTCATCAGGGACATGGTTGGCCCAGAGTGGAGGGAACGTTGGATGCAATGGACCAACCGCACCCCAGAGCAGGTCTTTACATTTTCACCGAAACACATCTCTTATACGTAGTTGCATAAATAGTGCGTTTTGCCTTTACCAAGGGTGCAAACATTTTCATGGTTGTGGCATATGAGTAAGAGAATGGACTTGGCACACCCTTTTTAGAGCAGTGGCGTAGCGTGGTTGCCACGGACCCTGGTGCTAGGAATAAAGTGGGCCCTCTCCTATACAGTTTCCCATCTTCGTAGCCTAGTACCTGTGCAGCTGCGCGCAGTCTGCACACCTGATACCTACACCACTGCTTTAGAGATTCCAGAAATTGTAAATAAACAAGTCATAGGTCTGATTGGGTTGTCCACACAAATACGCGTTTTGTGGTGTTTCTCTCCTGTCTACAGCTCTTCGACTGTGGTGGAAATTTCACATTGGTATGGCAGGGAAGAGTCCATATTTACGACCACTGTTGACTTCTGACAATGTCCTAATTATTTTTTTGCATCAACCCTGGAGCCATTAATGGCTGTGTCAGTGCCTGACTAATATACACTCACTGCCTTCAGATTGCAAGCCACATTGCCTTTATTTGGTTGGTAAATGAAATAAATGATATCACTTATTGCAGTTTTGTGAAATATACATGGAATGGTTGCCTCCATTTTTGGCAGGTTATGAGTCATCGATTCTTTGATTCAATTGGTCTCTTACACTCGCAATACATGCATCAACCTTTTGGAGCAAACAACGCTGTGTGAAAATGAGACGGAAGAAAACAGTACAAACGAGACTGGAAAAACGAGTCAATGTGGAATATTTTCTTTAATGAAATCACAATCTTGAATCATGACAATCCTGGCATCACTGTAAAGGGGATAGCTTAATCGATACATGCCGAATATTTGTATAGAATACAGAAATTTAAAAACGTCCTTAACATTGCAAGTAATTATCTTTTAACCCTTTGGCCCCATTAACCCACCCCCCCCCCCCCCACGGCTTCAGAGCGTCCGAAACGAGACCAAGTCGGAGCTGGAGCGGCTGCTGAAGGTGGATGGCGAGCACACGGCGTACCTGGCCAGCGATGAGATCACCACCGTGCGCAAAAACCTGGAGTCCCGTGGCGTGGAGGTGGACGCTGGCTTGGTACGCCCCCCCCCCTTCCTCTTTAACCAATTGAGGAAGAGTACACGACACACGACATACTGACAGGGTTTCCAGTTGATCTCTCGTTAAAAACATGAAAGAATTAGCACACAGAGTGAGTTGCGCATGTATACAAGTAGAGCCATATTGTCAAACCACTGCTGGATGAGGGTCTTCCCGCTTTGCATGCGTCTTGGGGGTTATTTCACCATCCTTCACCATGCTGGTCAATGTGGATTGGATGATTGTCAAGGCTAGAAACATTTGAGCATAGTACACTGTAATAATATATATAAAAAAAAAACTTTTTTAAAAACACGCTTTAATGAAATGTACCCTACTAGTCATGGAAGAACTCCACGACTCCAGAAAAGTGGCCCCGAAGCTTGTCATAATGTAAGGGACCGTGGTGATTTACAGCCAACGTCAGTTGAGCGTGGACAATTAGACCCAAGCCGAAACATAACATGTAAAAAAGATCGCTTAAAAATATTTGTTTTTTTATGATAGAATATAGTATTGTCATCAGTATGACATAAATATACCAGGTTTGCAGGCGATACCACATTGGGAAGTGGGTTAAAATTGAGTTACGAGATTTGAGGATACAACAACAGACAGTGCGTTAATAGAAAGCGTGTAAAAAAATGGATTTCGCCGCATTACCATCTGCTGATAACATAGGAGCCTACAACATCAGCTTTATGCATGGTGGTTGCCCATCCAAGCGCTACCTTGCTTGGTATACAGGAGGTCGTGGATTCGATCTTGACCCTGATGCCTGTATGTTTAGAGTTTGCATGTTTTCCCTGTGGTTGTGTGGATTTTTCACTGTGCCCTGCAGTTTTTCCCTCCACATTTAGACTCAACATGCACTCAGAGTATTTGACTGCTATACATTTCCACATGGTCATAAGCCACTTTGTTGAGCTATCGTTTGTGGTCAGGTCGCTTCTGAAAAAGAGTTATATAGCTCAGTGGGCCTTACCTGGTAAAATAAAAATTGTTTAGTTTACATCTGGTTAGAGACTGGGCACAATCCGGGTGATTTGGTCATACATTCGTGTTATTGAGTTAGGTAGCTTTAATACTCCAACCATCTGAAATGCATTCATTTTTTTTTAATCCTGAAAATGATTGCACCCTTAACCGTTCGTTGTGATGTATTATTGAAATCGTCACACTGTGTTGTGTCCACATCGTTGTGCGTCAGATCAAAGACACGTGGCACCAGGTTTACAGACGCAGTTTCCTCAAAAAAGCCCTGGACCACTGCAATCTTTGCCGGCGAGGATTCTACTACTACCAGAAGAACTTCGTGGACTCGGAGGCAAGCGCCACACTTAACGCTCATTAGCCCTGTTTCTCTAGAGAAGGGCTTCCCATGCTCCAGTCCTCACGAGCCACCACGGTACGCCTTTTCGTAATCACCAGTCTCATTCGGATCAACTACAGATGAGGTTGTTGCATGCTGCGCCAGCCTGATGATTGGCAAACATTTGCGATGTGACGGAGCTAACGGCCGATTCCAATACAAGACGCCATACGCGAGTGTCCCCGTGTGAAGTGGAGCGCGCCGATTCAAGTTAAGACGCGCGCTCTGGGTCATGCGGGGTATGTTTAGCAATCTTCATGTGCCAGCAGCGTGTAACAGCTTAATTTGTATTTTGATTTAAAGCTTTCGTGACTGCAGTAATTCATATTCTTAGTTTTTTCGGTAAAGTCACGTTGAAGAGAAACAACAGAATAACAAAATATATATAAAACAATAAAAAAATTATCACGACGTTTCGACCATAACTCAAACGGTCATCATCAGGTGTGTCGGTTTGCATAAATTTATTTTAAAAACGGCATATTTATTTATTTATATAAAAAAATAACGTTTGCGTCACGCGCAGCGATTGGCAGTTTGCCCAGGACTAGTCCATCTATTTTTTGAAAAGAGGAGGGGGGAGACGAATTTTTTTTTATGCTGTCTGAAAGCCACTGTAAGCGTGAACAATCAATCAAGAACTGAAATGATTTATCAAATCTTTCCAATGATTGCTAAGATAGAATCCATCTTCTCGGTTGAAATTGTCTCTGTGCTTGTATATGTGGATAGCCTCATGAACGAATCTCTCATGGAAGCCAGATGGCTTACAAAGAACCTCCGTCTTGGAAAAGTCAATGGCATGTGAGCCTACTGAATTAGAACAATGATCTGCTACGGCCGAGGTGTTGGTCCTACCGTGTTTAAGGTCTGCTTTATGTTCACGAATGCGGTCCGAGATATGGCGTTTGGTTTCTCCAATGTAACTACTACCACAGAGGCAACTTAGTTTGTAGACACCAGGGTATTGTATGTCCGGAATCACATCTTTTACAGACGGAACCAGATCACGGATTTTATGTAATGTGTTGAAACGGACCTGGATCTTGTGTTTATTCAAGATTTTGGAGATCTTTTTTGTGATCCCAGCAATGTAGGGTAAAGTGATGGTTTTGAAAGGCTCCTCAAGAGGGTTCTTCTTCATGGTTTGAGTGATAGCTTTGCGGATTGTATAGTCGGAGTAACCATTAGCCCTAAGAGCTTGGTGTACGTGCTTGAGTTCACTGCTTATGTGTTCCTGGTCAGATATGCATTGGGCTCTATGATACAGAGTCTTGATGAGAGAATTCTTCTGTGATGGATGGTGGTGGGAATCCGGTTTCAGATAAGCATCCGTATGGGTAGCTTTCCTGTAGACAGAGTGGCTCATTGAACCATCAGGTCTCTTTTTAATTAGGACATCCAAAAAAGGTATCTTGCCATCTATTTCGACTTCCATGGTAAATCTGATGGCTGGGTGTATGGAATTGATGTGGTCGAAGAATTGGTCTAGAGCAGGCCGGCCATGTGGCCAGATGACAAAAGTGTCATCCACGTACCTCTTCCATAAGGTTGGGCGCAGAGTGGCAGTCTGGATGGCGTCAGTCTCAAATTTCTCCATGAAAATGTTAGCTATAACTGGAGAAAGGGGGGAGCCCATTGGGGTGCCCTCAGTTTGTTTGTAGAAAGTTCCATTCCAAGTGAAGTATGTATTGGTTAAACAGTGTCTCACCAGGGGGGGTACCTCAGTGTTTAGTCCTTGATGAACCAAGTCTTCAATGATTGCAATGGTGTCAGGTACAGGAACCTTGGTGAATAAGGAAACTACATCAAAACTGACAAGCAGGTCGTCTGGGGACAGGGAAATTCCCTTGATTGTTGATACCAGGTGAGTAGAATTTTGTACCGCAGAGGTGGTCTTTCCAGTGAAAGGACGCAGGATTTCAGACAAAAAACGAGCTAGTTTGTAGGTGGGGGAGCTGATAGTAGAGACTATGGGACGAAGAGGTGTATCAACTTTATGTATTTTTGGTAAGCCGTATAATCTTGGTGGCCTGGCAGCAGAAGGTTTCAACGAAAACTGTTTAGATTGATCAATTAATGCGGTTGAATCAGAAATTATTTTGTTGGTTTGTGTGACGAGGCTGTTGGTGGGATCTCTTTTTATTTTTGTATAACTACCATCGTCGAGTAATTCTTTAATTTTATATATATTTTGTTATTCTGTTGTTTCTCTTCAACGTGACTTTACCGAAAAAACTAAGAATATAGCTTAATTTGTATTTGGACGGAGAACGTGCGTAAGCATGGACAGGCGAAGTGCGATGGGGTCGCGAGAATCGGTGGTTGGTAAACTCTGCCGCTGGAGCCTGACATTACCGTTAAATAAAAGGATCGCTATGCAGATGTCGCTTGCATGTTCGGGTGTTATGGCTTTGCAAGCCCATTGGCTGTGCAGTGATTCAACCCTCGGCTGTGCCCTGTGCGCCCTGTAGTTGGAGTGCAACGACGTCGTGCTGTTCTGGAGGATCCAGCGCATGCTGTCAATTACGGCCAACACACTAAGGCAGCAGCTCACCAACACTGAAGGTCAGCAGCACGGGATCAGGCTTGGCACTGGAGGGAATAGAAACACAATTAAACCACTGTGTTTCGAGAATGAATGTAACGCGTCCGGGATGACATCCACCGGGAGGAGATTGAGTATTTGGCTGTTATAAATTTCCACATATGATAAGCCACTTTGTTGAGCTAACGTTTGTGGTCCGGTCGATTCTGAAAACGAGATAATAGCTAGTGGGCCCTTGCCTGGTAAAATAAAAAAAATAGTTTCGTTTAAGAAAATCAGTGCGTGTATTGGTGCTGAGTGAATTGTTGCATCGTAGGATTGTCGGGGATGGTGGCGCCTTGGGGAGAGACGTGATGATTGATGATTAAACCTCCCAGAGCACTGCAGAAGAGAATTCTCGTTAATGAAATAAACATACGTTATGTACTGCCACTTTAATAAAAATGGATTTTTTTTCTCTCTCGGAATATTTACCTTTCAGACTTATGTTAGCAGCATGTGTTCAAGCATGCAAACTGTTGACCAGTTCAACCTTCTGGGTCTCATTAGCAGAGACCGAAGCGTTGACATGTGTGTGTGGAATTTCTTGCTTCAGTAGTCACCTGGACTAATTTGTCCAATTTTCAGAGTGCAAGGGGTTTTAATAATAAAATGTAAAAAAGTGCCTTGTGTAAGCTAGATGTTTTTGGAAGAAGCTGAGAAGAAACAGTTGACATTGGCCAGCAGGGGGAGTTCTGTTAGATATGTGAGAGAAGCAGCAGAAGAGACGGAACCGCCTCTACTTGTGTAGAGATTGTGACTTAATGTTTGTGCAGCTCGGAGACTGGAGAAGAATGTGAAGGAGGTGCTGGAGGACTTTGCAGAAGACAACAGCAAGAAGATCAGACTTCTGACTGGGCGTCGGGTTCAGTTGGCTGAGGAGCTCAGTGAGTTTCCCCATTGATGCAAAAGCACTCATTGTCACACACTGATAACCAATTTACCTTTTCACCATGACTGATGGTGATGTTGACATTGGTGGTGGTAATGACGATGGTGATGATGACATTGTTGGAGATGATGGTGATAATGAAATTGGTCGAGCCGATGGTGATGATGACATTGGCTATGATGAGCTGGCTCGGCTGTCTATTGACGCTTGTTTCCGATGCAATTACAGAACGAGTGCGAGAAATTCAAGAGAAGCTGGAGGCGTTCATCGAGGCTCTGCGCAATGAAAAATAACACCCCACGCGCGTGAATCCTGTTCGGTTTGGGAATCTTCTCGCTCGTGGCCCACCGTTGAGGGATCTGTGTCAGATGAAGATCAACACGGGTCAATCATGCTTCCCACCACTCCTTCGGAATCTGCCAAGAAAACCGAGCCAGAGTCCCGACAGTTCCACTTCATTTTGTTGCCGTCTGTAACGCAGCCGATTCATATGTACATATGTGGCCCTTCCAAAAAAACATCTCCCCCCTCCCCCCCCCCCGTCCACCTCCCCAACACATGCTCGCACACGTGTATGGACTCGCATCGTGAATGTAGCGACAGCACTGAGGACAGTGCATTCACAGAATGCACTTGAAGCACGACAACCACCCCCGTCTCGGTAGATGTACCATACTTTGTGCAATAAAAGTGTTAATAAAGGTTAACGTCCTAAACGCTGCCTTCAGAGTTGATTGCACTTCCTTTGTGTTGCAGTTGCGAAAAAGCACTTGTTGATTTTTAAATGGCTACAAGGGTGATGACCTCATTTAGTTTCGACTGCAGCGTGTGCTGTATTATCGCAGCTTTTGCTGCCATGAGTACGGCTTTTCTACTCTGGTATTAAAAAAATAGCATTTACTGAAGTGTGCACGAGGTGGCAGTAGTACAGCATGCACCGACGTCCGGTTAACCCGAGAGCCACTGGTCTTGGGGTCTCCATAGGCCAAAACCATACACATCGAAACACTTGCTAACAATTTAATTTAAAGATGAGTACCAACAGGAACTTGCTTTTGAATTCTGTCTACTCAGTTGCTAGTTAAAACAGAGTTAAAAGACTTCAACCTTTGTAACATCGATGGGCCACATTTGGTATAAAACACATTTAGTCAACATTTTGGGTTTTATTTAAACGACAATTTAATACAACGACAATCATATCACGATAATCGACGGCCATTATATAGCATGTTTTAAAATATAAGCGCGCTGAAGTTTCTGAATGTTCCTTAAAGTCTGGCAACCCTTTGCCACGAATGTCTCATGTTCTTTCGTGTGTAATTTTTAACATTAAACCCAAGCAACGGTCGCGCGGGGGATTTATTACCACGCAGTGCAGTCCGGTATTTATTTTACGCTCTGTAATTTATTTTGCATTGGCCGCATTAGTTGGGCCACTTGACTTGCAGAATCGGGACAGCAGCAGCAGCAGCAACGCAACTCTTGTTTTGACACCTGTTGCTTCGCTTTCGCAATCTTGAAATATTTTTTATTATCAAAATTGCGGAATGCGGTCGTGGAACAAACCTTCGAGACACTGTTTATAGAGGCAACAGATAGACGTTCTTGTAGCTTGAGCGCGGGGCCATTCTAAGGTGGCGCTTCTCTTGTTCTCTGCGGGGAGCGCGGTAATAGATCGAGTTCTTTGAAAAGTTCAGCAATACCTACTGCGCTGTGGAACACGCCACGCGCGCACGTGTGGAAGTTGCCCGTGTTTACTTGTGTAACATTTTACACGTGTTCACGTGTAACGGTGTCTCTTTAATGTATTAACTGAGCAGCGATCTGGATCCATGCGCATTCTCATGGGATCTTACACGGCGGCGCGTATGTCCCGTCTGCTGTTTTAACCACTGGTGTTGTCTCCATCGGTACACTGACAAATCTACATGGTGCCTCCACTAAAAATGCTAAAATATACAATGCTTTACCTTAAATTGGAGTTCACTCTAACTATTTGTAATTGAAACTCAGCCCGAGTCCTCCAATTTCAAACATGTCCAACTAATTTTGTATGGGGTTCATGACACGGGCTTAAACTTAACTTTGAACACCTTTAAGCTTTTAAGTGCTGCATAAAGTGTACGTTATCTTGGTTGTAATGTTAACTAACTCCTGAAAGCTGTACATTGTGTGGGAGTGTGGAGTTTGCTTATTGCTAGAGCGGTATGTAATGGAATAAAAAAAATATGTACTAATTTATACCACTTTTGAACGTGTTTATCTTCAGTTAATGCTTTGCAGATCTACAAAGACGTAATTGCCGACACAAACCCAACGCCGCACAATTTGAGGCACAGCGAACACGTCCAATAAATTCCTTCCCCATTCACCCGATGTAATTTATAGCGCCATGATACAAAAAACACGCATTTCTTGCATAGTCTAGATAAGTGCGTGGTTTTCCACGTACTCCTTTGAATTTATTCAGCGAGTAGGAGTTGTATTCTTCTGTGGTCTAAAATCAGTGAGAGTAACCCACAGGGCACATTTGCACTTTGCAGTGTGCCAAATTCTTGTACCGGTAAGCAACTGCTACTCACGGATTTTGACACGACAGTGCCAGGCTCCCGATTTTGTGATGGCATTCACAGATACGGCAGCACTCGCCCGACGCCTTTAGCAAGGCCAATAACGTTTGGCAACAACTACTTTACAACATTTTCTGTTTCCCCCTTTGACATGAAAGGATATCGGAATCGGCAGAATATTTATACTGGAGGAATCCGATGAGCTGTAAAGCTATTTTTCACAGACGTCCATTCTGGTGGATGTCTCAACCACAAACCTCACGGATGGAGCCAGAATATTTCTGAAAAAATAAGAATAGGGTTTACCCTTTCTGGCAATGAAACAGGAGGTGTTAAGATGTTCAAACACCCAATATAAACCTTTATTGCAAGGCATTAAGTCTGCATTAGCCACACGTAATCGTGCCAAAACAAGGAAACGAGCATGATCTGATTATAATAAGCATTGCATTTGATGCCTTGCAAAAGGTATATTTGGTGTTTGAACATCTTAACACCTCCTGTTTCATTGCCAGACAGGGTACAACCTATTCTTATTTTTTCATACTTTGATACTGGCAAGAAAAACAGGGTCCTATACAGAATATTCATCCATAATAGAGCCACAAATCTGGCTGTCGCCTGATGAAGCTAGTTGTAATTACTGGCGAAACGTCGTACTCAGATTGTAAATGTTGTGGCTTGGCTCTCCAACACACCGGTGTGCTGTACTAGTGACGAATTGGCCACGTTCTTTTTTGCGTGACAACCCTTACTAGTTGGCTGTGTCGGGTGGTGGCGGGTTTTAACGACACATTTATATATTTGTACGCGATCTAACCCCAAAAAAATATCTTGTATTGATAATGGTAGCGAAAGCCTACGGTGTTCAACGGAATATTCATTCTTGATTTGAAGCTTTCGTGACTGCAGGAATCCAAACTCTTTGGTTCTTTTGGTAAAGTCACGTAGGTAGAAAATTAATAGATCACGACGTTTCGATGGCAGCAGTTCTCCTGCTGTGTTTGTCTCACCTGATGACGGTTGCTTGTATTGCGATCGAAACGTCGTGATCTATTAATTTTCTATCTACGTGACTTTACCGAAAGAACCAAGGAGTACAGAATATTCATGTCGTCTACGTGACGGACACGTCTCACAACACGCACGCTTGATTTTTTTTTTTACAATTTTGCGTAATTCTGTTCAACTTTGCGGAAATAAGCGATACATAGGATCCAATGCTGTCAGTGGGGCATGTTGCTCCGGTTACTAATGACTTGTTTGGATAACAGTGATATCCCTTCCTCCACCGCACTCTCTCGCGGTGGTTGTTTGCGGTGCAAACAAAAGCGCCGGCCCGGGTTCCCACAGTGGCACAACTCTCCAGCACCCAGCGAAGCCCCTCCTGAGCGTTGTTATGAGAGAGAGAGAGAGAAGGTGCAACGGCACCTTGCGAAAAATACCTTAGGCTTCTAACTTAATTTCGAGCCGATAATGCTGTACAATTGCTTTAACGTCTGTTCACGATCGAGATGGGAATTTCCGATGGCTCATTGGGCCCGCCCGTGCTAGGGCAAACTGCGATTAAATCGACCTCTGAGATGAAAATTGGCCATGCAACAAACGATCATCTTGTTAAAACTTTGCACCAATATACTTTTTATCGTCTCCATCCATCTCTTTCTTTGCAAATAGGGCATTAAAATAGTACACGTGTATTCGGAATCATTGAAACGGGATATAAATGCTCGTGATAATGAATTAACTCAAGGCCAACCGAATATATATTAGCACTGCAATGTTCATGGACATTTTGGAAACAATTACATGGTATTATGATATTACAAATACTAGGTATGTGCTGCAATTCCCGCACATTTTGTGTGTTACAATTTTGGGGTTGCAATTATATTCTACAATCGTTATTTTTGTTTGTTTACAGTTGTGGTTTGTCTTATTTACTTCACAGTCTGCTTAAGCCCCATTAGCCGAAGCTAAAATTGTCATAACATTTGCGTAACACTTGCAGAAATTGAGTCATGGGATTGTATGCAAATATCACGAGTAACAATATAAATTGATTGATTCAGAACTGATTATTTTCGGCCCTTTGTCAATCCATTGCAGGCTGAAGGCTTCCCCATACCATTACATGTGGGTTGTTCCGATATACTTCACCATGCTGGTCAGTGTGGGTTTGCGAAGGCGAAAATATCTAGGAATGGCTCAGGTATCACTTGGCACTGTTTTTAGCCATGGCCAGATATCGACCTCGGGCCGTCAGGTTCATAGTCCAGTGCTCTAATCACCACAAGACTACACTAATATTTCCCACACTTCCGATGAGCACGGTTGGCTAAGTAAGGTGCAAAAGAAATGCAACATACACACGTGGTCAGTATTAATATTAGTTGTCAGCATGTTTTTTTTTTCCGCAGGGGTCGTGCCAATACATAATTACTTGAACTAATTGCATTTACACAGGCAATACAACAATATGAATTTACACACATTCAAATACATTGTAATTGTATCTGTACTCCAGGAGGTTTTGTGAATGTTAAGTGCAGTATGAAGACTGATGCTGGCTGGCAACGTTATTTTGGTCTGTCGTGCAAAAATGACAATTCTTGGCATGGAGACATTCAGCGAATGAGTGAGTTCGTCTGATGAGAGGGCAGCGGCTTTGGAGGAAACAGAATGGAATTCATAGATGGAGTGGCCTTGAGCGGTGAAATAATTTACAGCATTATTGCACCGAATGCTCACGTTCACCTTCGGCGAGGAATCCTTGAGCCAGAAAGCCTGACCACCAGCCTACATTTTTTTGTTGTTTACGGAATTATTTAAGACAAGTGGGTTTTAAAAATGTTTTTTTTAAGTCAACGATGGCTATGAGTGGATGAGAATCACAAAACGTGACGACTATAACTTACCCAGCGAAGACTAAAGCATAACTATGCCAAGGCATGACTGAATGAAGATGCAGACTAAGATGACGTAGTCGTGTTATTCGCGACTGCAGTGCCCCTAGGCCCTTGGAAGACCAAATCTGATAGCTAAATATATTTGTAAACATTTACTGAGATCACGGATTTGTTGACCTGTTAAATATTTGAGGGTTGTTGGGTAAATTACATGCACCTCACATAAATATTTAATATGTAAGGGTCGACTAAATCTTGTAAATGTTCCGTTGCCTTCTAAACTAGGAGAATGGACGAAATATAATCAACATACTTCAGACTTAACTAAAATTACACGGGTTGGCGTATAACCAGACCGCAGACTGAGACTCAAATGCTGGCTGTCCCCCCTTCAAGCTGCACCGCATGTATTTCCAGAAAGGGTAAAACTTATTCGTATTTTTCATACTGGCGAAAAATGTATCCCATTATTTTGCTGCTATAAATGCTCTGATACGTGCATTGTACTTGCACCTTTCGCATTTTGGCATTCTCTCTTCTGACACTGGTGAGACTAGGCCATGAAGAAGACTGTCTCTGATGTAGGCCAATCAGTTTCAAAGACAGTGCATCATATATTATCCTACCATGTTTATTTGCACGTTCACAAGTACGTGTGGTTAACGCAGACTTGATGCCTTGCAAAAGGTATTCATTTTCTGTTTGAACATCTTAACACCTCCCTGTTTTATTGCCCAGAAATGGTAAAAACCTATCCTTGTTTATATTCTTGGTTCTTTCGGTAAAGTCACGTAGAAGGGAAACAATAAAATAATAAAAATATAAAACAATAAAATTCTCACGACGTTTCGACTGCAACACAAGAAATCATCATCAGGTGTGAAAACCACAGCAAGAACATTTGAAAATTTCCTTCATTTTCTGTTTGAACATCTGATGATGATTGCCTGTGTTGCAGTCGAAACGTCTTGAGAATTTTATTGTTTTATATTTTTATTATTTCATTGTTTCCCTTCTACGTGACTTTCCCGAAAGAACCAAGAATATGAATCCCTGCAGTCACAAAAGCTTTAAATCAACACCTATCCTTGTTTGTCATACTTTTATACTGGCAAAATGAAAACGTCTCATGATGCACCGCATTGCAGCGGTCATTTCCGGGATCCGTGCACGCTGCGGCGTCTATGACGACGGGGCAAGTTTAATATTTCAAGCAGCGTCACAGATCGAACAGGGCGACTGCAGCAGTGGATTGTGGATGGCCACTGCAGAATAAACAAGAGGAGAAATTAAGGACTCAAGGGCAGAGAGAGAGAGAGCCGGGTGTTATGTTGCGGTAAACTACGTGTGCTTGCATACCTTAACAGATCTAAGCTTGTTTTTTCTTTCTTTAAAGGACGCGCATGCTTTTAGTAGCGAGCACCAATTCGTGCAAATTATTCGGCGATACTGAGTCTGGCAGTGTTGCACAAGCGTAGGTCACACACACACAGAAAACCGTACTCCTCAATAACACTGGCGGCCTCCAAAGAACACAATAATATATGATAGGTGACGTGTGTGTGTGGGGGGACAGTATTGCCCGTCGACGTAGCAGGTAGCCTCACACGAGGCCTGCCCCAACTCCTAGCCGTGCCGTGGACGTTACACTGCTGGGATGGACAGAGCTGGCAGCGAGGGGATTTAAGAAACGTGGCACCGCTGTTTCAATCGAGCCGGCGACCTCTGGGATTGCGAACTCCAACGTTGCCGACCATCACGG